TCATTCTGGAAGCCTGAGGAAGATGTAGGTTATCATACTGAATAATAATTGCAGTTATCAGGAGACATGGGAGTTGCTCAAAGTGGATGTTTATTCACATCCACTTTATGCAAATATAATATTCCTATACATTTGCAATTTATGTCTAAAAGGAAAAGTGGTAAAAGCAGTGTGTGGATTTCTGTAATGAAATTGATACAGACCTGTGGAAGAAGGAGGTGGGAAGATGGTCCTCAAAATATTCCTGTCCCCACCTTCCCCCAAGGGAAACTGTACTTAGAATGAGAATATTTCAGTATACTCCAGTGCTTTAATTACAGTTCACCAGTCATTGTAAATAGCTTTGAGATACTTCACTTCAAATTGTAAGTGTATTTGTTGGAGACCATAGAAGTGGGGGGGGGGCAGGAAGCAGGACTAGCCTTTCTGTAAACTCCAGAGGAAGATAATAATTTGCAAAACAACTGCATGCTTCTTAGATTACCTAGGTGAAAAGTTCATCTCTTATCCTGTGTGTTATATTTCAAAAATTCTGGAAGGTAGCAACCACGAGGAGGAGGGAGTCTGCATACGAGAATATTGAAGACTGTTAGCTTCTTCAGCTCTTGAAATGAGAATTACTATTGATATTAATCTTCATAGGTAGATGTTTCTTCATTAAGAGCAGCTATTCTGTAATATCTGACTGAATAGTAGTGGCTACAATTTATTTCAACTTTTTTTTTTTGCTCGTCTCTACAGCCTTTATAACAGCATTCATTCTTACTGGACACGGTGCTTATTAATTTTCTGTTCTTTTACAGGTTGCACTTCCGCAGTTTGTTACAGCCACAACTACAGTAACGCCTTCAATCCTCTTGTCTCCTAGTGTTTTTCAGCAGTCGGCTACAAAAGCTGCTGAAGTGGAGAATAAAGCCAATTCTTCTTCGCCTTTAACACTTGGAACAACAGAAATTCAGACTATACCTCCTACTGTTCTCAGTAGGTCTCAGCTTCAAGAAGCACTGATACACCTAATAAAGGTCCTGTCTTTACAGAGCTCAATTTCTGAGGGATGGGGTGGTTTCCAAGTACAGTAGCCAGTACTGAGAAATTGTGTACCCGTACAACTCCTTTTGCCTTGAAACGTTACAGAAGTTGTTCCTTTTTGTTGGAAGGGGTAGATTACTCCACACTGTACACGTAGTATGGCAGAGTTTGCTCCTTTTGGTTGCCGTATGCAGGACTTAGGACAGAGCTGTACATCAGATGTGTCCTTTCACATCTGTATGAATTTGTGGACAAGTGAGGAAGAAGTTGCACTAGTAGAAGCCCTGGTGTGGGGACAGGGGAAGTTGGGTTTGTTGTCTTTGTAAGATTTCCTGCTTCCAGTTCCCTAGAAGTGTTCCTGATCTTTAATTGAAGTATGTGTATCTGAAATGGAAATTGCAAAGTTCTAGTTCTGCTATTTCTAGGGACTGAAAAGTTCAGCTGAATCAAATATGTGATGATGGGAGTAGCCAACTGAGTTGAGATAATTTTGATCTCTAATTTCATGGTGAAATTGCCATGAATGACAAACGGTTCTTGCCCCCTCCTCATGGTTAATTGAGCTTAACACCTGAAATGCAAGTCTAAAAGGAACAAACAATATCTTCCCAGCAATAAAGTTGTTAGGACCAAAAGGGGCCGCTACCAAATCCCATTTTTAGCTAGGTTGCCTGATTTATGTATGTTGTTCCTTTTTGCGTAACCTTTTTGTGTATTGGTGTGTATGGTTTTTTCTCTTAAAAGGCTTAACAAGCTTACTCCTCAGTCTTCCAACCGAGCTCCACTGCCAGAAGTCTTACTCTCATTAGAGACATAGCACACTGATTCTCACCCATTAGTGTGAAGAACATCATTTTGGTGACTTTAGAGAGCTGACTGGAGTATTTATCTCCAGTCTTCCTTCATATAGAGAGATATCTGAATGAAGGCCAAAATGGGCATACCCTGCAGCAGGGGAGTACTTGCATAGCAGTCCAAGCAGGATACCAAATTTGATGTGCGGATCTTATAAAAAGAATGTTACATCTTCAAGCTAAATGATTACATACCAGTCTTGTAGACTTGTTATTTGAAGGAATTAGTCTCAAAAAATATCTCTGTAAATATTGTCTATAGATTAAAATAGTTAACTTCACAATCATGCTTTGACATGAGAATTCTTGTGTAACACACCGCAATCCTTTACAACAGGCTGGTCTGACAGACAGAAATAACATTACTTCTGACATGCAGACTTTATTTGGGAGCCTGTACACAGAATGGAATTCTCTTGTCTAAGACTAAGGTTTGGACTCTAGAGGGAAGTGAAATCATGTGGCCAAGGCTGACCTAGTGACCCCTGTTTTGTTTGAGCATCCAGTGTGCTTGGTGATCCCTTTAGCTATCTTACCAGATTCATAGTTCAAAGTCTGTGTGTTGTCCAAAAAGCATTGCCTCTTGCGCAAGTATGCAGCTAGTTCCCTTCTCTTAACTCTCAGATAGCTAGCACTATAAGGAATCCTTATGCACAGCATAAATGGCATTAAACTTTTTATGTTATTCTACTAATGTTTCTAATTTGGGTTTTTTTTCCCCTGCAGAATGATTCCCGTTTTCTCAGCACTATTCATGAAGTCTACTTGCAAGTCCTAACCAAGAATACAGACAACATTAAGCTATAATTGAAGCTAAATCTACTTAAAATATATCCATTTTAGAAACTATTATGCCTCGTCTAAAAGACTAATATTTTTGTAAAAGAATATTTAGTTTTCAATGTCTTGAATTTGAACCTGTTAGGAAAGACTATTCCTTAAATACTTATGAAAGTAATGTTCTCAGAAGTGATCTAAGTTTTCACTGTGATCATCACCAGCAAACCTTTGTTTTTATTGGGGAGGGGACTTAAGTTGCATTTGAGCTCTCATTAGCATTAAGTGAATGTGCAGATGTTTCCTCTGGCTTTCGTTCCTAGCTGTATTCACTGTTCAAGGATTACAGACTCAGTGTTATGTAAACCAGCAAATACATAGTACAGTACACTACACCACACCAGAACAAAATTCAGTTGTGGGAAACTAGTTCCGGTTTGAATGGCTGAGACAAAGGAGAGAAAAATGCCTTGTGATTAAGTTGGCAGGTATGGGAAGGCATGGATCTGGAAGCCAGGCCTGTGGAGCTAAATCTTTAACAAAAGGTTTAAAAATGTGATTTGCTCAATAAATTGACAGTCTCTAGCTAATAAATTCATCTTTTAAATATTCCATTAATCTTATTTGCTGCTGCATTGCTGACATTAAACAGGTATCCAAGTGAGTAAGGCCACTTTCTCTAAAAAGGCAAAATTTGAAATATGCAAAACTCTCAGCGATTGTATCTTCGCCCCCCACCCCCCGCAAGCAATACAGTAGTTCTGTTGCAGGTTGACATTCTCTTGTTTTAAATTTATAGTTACAAGACCACCACTGGAAGACCTTCTTCCTGTTCAGCAGTGTTTGATATAATTTAAATACTCTGTTTCCCTTTTAGCTTAAGGATGGGCCATGTCATAGTTGCCTTTCATTCTTCAGTTGTGTTGGAACTGCAGTGTTGAACACTATGCAGATGGGGAACAAATGCATGCTTTTCTTCTGTTGCCCTCTCCCCACATTGTTAGTGCATACTTCAGTCCAAAGTTTATCTAATTACCATGTTATCGCTTCTTGTATGTGACTTAGTAAATCACTATTCACTAATGTAAGAATTTAACTGGATACTTTCCCATTTGAAATCATAAAATTTCTAATTCTAGTTTCTTATGCTGCTGCGTTGGTTTACCAATTCTTAAAGGCATGCAAAGGTAATTAATAAGATTTCAGGTCACAACTTTCTTCAGCAATAGTAGTTTTAAAGGATGCTTTTCCAGTAGAAAAAGTTTTGATTTATTGAGTAAAAAGATAATCTGTAGTGAGTTATGATGCACTGCTGCTTTCTTTTCCCTCAAGCACTATTGAAATACAAAGGAAAAAATTGTTTGGCTCCTTACAACATATATGTATGTATATATATCCTAAGGATTAGTTAATGTTGACAAAGTCAAATTGCATGGTCATTTCATTGGAAACTAGTCATTGAGCTTTAATTGTGACTTGTTCACAAATCAGTACATATTAGATACAACAAATATTTACATTTTTACATATTTGATCTATTTTAGTTTTTTTTCATAGCTTTTTAGTGAAAAATGTACTTTGTTTAGCGCTACCTGCCTTCTGAAAAGCTATTCTCAGCATTTGAGTTCAGTGTTTCTGGTTAAAAGATATAATATTTTGTTAGAAAAATGTGCAAGATTCAGGGAAGGATGCTAATATCATGCACGTTCATCAAGAAATATATTGGCTTTAATGGTAGCATTCGAATTCAGCAATATAAACTCAGCCTTGTTAAGAAAGCTAAGAGCTTCCTACATAAATTCTAGTTATAACACTGTGTATGCACATAAACAATGAGACTCAAATTGGATGTAAGGTCTAAACTCATTTGTTTTGTTGGCTTTTTTAGAAAAAGTTTCACTAAAAGGGACAAACCAATGAGCAGTTCCTCTGAACAAAAATGGATAGCCTAAACCAAACAGCAAGCTGCTTTTTATCTGGGTTTAGCAGAGATAAAGCCCATAACTTCTCACTTCTTATGGACAGCTTCTGGTTTCTTTAAAGGAAGATTTGATAAAAGTTTCTAAGAATAGAAATATTGGAAGCTGATAGTGTGTATTTGTACTGTTTGCTAAATAGTTATATCCAAAGATCTGTAGAAATGATAGGAGGGAGTTTTACTTTGAGTTCTTCAATCATATACAGTTGACAGAAGTAATACTGCTTAGAGTAGCAGTGCAGTTACAGGAGTTTGACTCTACTTTGAATATCCTTAACTTGTTTTCAGCTGTCCAGGAACCCCCACAAGCAGTTGGCAGATCCTTACTTTACTTTGTTTTTGTAAGGTACTTGTAGCAATACATTATTGGTTTACTTTTTTTTTTCCCCCACCAACTTTCAAAATGGACTGGAAGAGAAACATAGTTGAAATTGTAATTACTAGACAGGCTTTTTTACAAAAAGCAAACCTGTTCATCTTGAACACCTGCACGTTTGTTCTGCGATCTCTACATGTAGGCAGCAGACACTGGAACCAAGCTAGGTGTCATCCAATACACCACGGAGTCAGTCTGTGGTTTATGACAAGTGTCAGGGTAGTGGTTTTAACAGATAAACCTCTTTAATGAAAAGTTGCATTGTAAAACACAAGCTCAACTACAGTGTAAAATCTGATTTGTTTTTTAATGTGGACTGTGTTATATAACAACTTTTTTTCCTGATTATTTTAACTGTCTGTGTAAATCTAAAATTACCAGGCTGCCGAAGGGCTTGATTCACATTAGCCACATGTAGGGATAACTAGTGTGTAGCAAGTTACATGGGTCATCACAGGAAATTACTGTGACCATTTTCAAGTGGTGTTTTTTTTCTTTGCAAAACTACTGGCTTAATGGAATTTTACCTATTAGTTTTAAGAATTAAAAATCTATTATTTTAGACTATACTCCCCAAAATAATTGTATTATCTAAGCATGTGTTTTGTGGCTAGCATTAAGTCACTTTAAAAAAAAAAAAAAAATACACACAAAAACCAGACTCAGACCTAATCAAAGACAGCTTTAAAACCTACAGCTGCTGAATTGTTCAGGAAAATCAATATTCTCAGTTTTGTAGTTTGAATTTATCTGCTGTTATTTAATAATGCAAAGTCAATATGTAAGGTGCCTAACAGCTATTAACTTAGAAGCAGTATATCTTTCCAAATTAAACAAGATTTGTGGAATGATCGAATAAAGTTAAGAAAAAAAAAATTAAGTGATTCATCTTGATTTCATATGAAATATTTAATTCTGTGTATAAATAATATAATATTTAAACGCTGCTGGATGTAGCTTACTTTTGCTTGCATTTCTAATTGCTTCATTTTGGTGTTATTTTTGAAACCCATTATGCCATGTGTAGTCATGGATACAATTTCTGATATTTTTTTGAAAACAAACTTTAATTTGAGACTTCCTGTTTTTAAAAGTATTCAAAAAAAATCAGCCAGCTTTTTGCCAGGTATTTGGGTTGCTTTGTACAGCATATCTTAACAGGAGGAATGTGTGCAATATATATCACCTCAGTTTTGTCTGGCAATGTTACGAAAATGTTAAGATGCAATATCTTCCTTTCACTTCAAGTTGGAAAAAATGCAGTATGTCTAATTTGGCGGTGTATTTATTTTTATCTATTCAGTGTATGGGCATATGGTTGGTTAGGTTTTTTAATGTACATTATGTGCTTTTAGTAATTTCTGTGTTTTATCACTTTTGTGGATACACCAATTGTACCTATTTGCATGTTCTTTCAGTGTGAAGACCATGGGGAAGGGGGGCTTCAGGAAAAGATTTCTGGAAACCGGGAATAATTGTAAGTCAGTAAATGTAGATACTGCATCATTAACGTTTTTGGTATGGTGTGGATTTTATAGCACCTATGTATGTTTGCAGTTATTAAGTTATTGCATAAATGTTTAAGAATGAGCATTTTTTCATCCAAAATTTTGTATGTTTGCAAATATATTTTTGTAATAAAACTTCAAAACAAATGTTTCAGCACCTCCTAAAATCTTCCAGTGTTTCCGTTTATTTCTAGAGCTCTAGCAGCCTGCTAGAAGGATAAGTTCTGATTTTATTTGGGGTTAATATTTTCCAGAGAAGAAACTCCAACTGTTTACTTCATACTGGGGGCAAAAACAAATTGCATTTATTCACTAACAAAAATGCAGTATGCCTGCTTGAAGGACAGCTGAGAACAGCATCTGTCACTTGTAACAGCTTCTGGCTATCCTCTGTATTGCTGTAAGTAGGCTTGCATTTTGAATTTGATAAATGGACCAATTTCCTTTCAAGTTAAAAAATGCACCTGCAAGTTCACTGTCTTACAAGTATAGCTGGGTTTAGTGCCTTATCACTTTTTTTTATGGTATCTTCTTTCATCCATCTAGACATAGCATATGATACTCAATCCAGTGTTGTTCTCTGATTATAGACTTTGGAAATTTCAGTTGTCATGCAACTGATTGATGCCAATTTTGCAAAGTAAAATAGGGAAGCTGATGAGGAGGAAAAACGTAGCAGTTCTGTTGGAATAGATCTTGAAATTAATCAAAACCTTATGCTGAAGTCCCTCAGTCTTAGCTGGATGCTTATTCCCATTCTAACTACCCACAAGAGTTTGCGAGGCGTACCAAATGTCAGGAGGTGCCACTGAAGAATGACGTTTGCTCTAGTAGCTAATACTGAACTGGCTCCTGTACTATACACAGAAGCAGAGTCTTCTAGTGGAAGACTAACATACAGAACAAGTACAGAAGTTGTGGGTTTACTGTGAGATAATTGAGAAAAAGGGAAAACAGCTAAGGCCTAGAATCCAATTTTAAACTGTGTGTTGGATGTGTTGCCTGTTTGGTCAATATTGCGGAATTATTTTTTGCATTGCTAATGCTGTTAACCTTTTTGTCTTCTGTGGATGCAGGTATTCCTGGTTACTGTATTCATATGAAGTGCTCACCTTTGGTTTGGAGATAATACTTTTGGCTTACTGTGTGTAGCTGCAGCTAAACCAGG